TTGTAGATGCCAGGCCGGTATTTGAAAACATCTTGAAATAGTTAGTGCCCGACGCATCCATTTGGATTGCAGATTGAAGATTACATGAGAGTCTTGGGGCAGAACCTTCGAATACAGGGTGGTTCAGGGCAGAGCAGGAGTTCTCGTTCGAAGAATCGTCACTCAACCACGTTGTTCCCCTGGCATCTGCAGCTGTTAAGATGCATGCTCCGGACACTGCTTGTTTGAAGATTTGCCCAAGGATGTTCCCGCAATCGTCAAGATTCAATTTGAGGGCCCAGGTTCCGAAGTCCTGTTTTAGATTTAAAGGCATGGTATGCTCTCACTCGGGCGTATTTTGAAGATTCGCGTCAAGACCTTAGGTCGATCTCCACATTTCGATATTCAAACAGGCGATCGCATCGTTTGCTCTTCCTGTTGATGCGGCAGGAAGACACTGAGGCGAAGGAGGAGGAGGATAAGTGAAAAGGGTAAGTGAGGATGTGGAAGGGTGAGGAGGGATGATGGCGAGGGGTGAGGAGGAGGAGACCATTCCTTCGGACATCCTCAGCGAATCTTGGAAACTGTGTCGGACATGTTTGGGCGAATCAGCAGAGCAAATAGGCAGCCATCAGAGAACCATCGAACATCCGCAGGATACTGCAGGAAAGCCTGAGGAACGTGTGTGATCCCTTGAGGAACGTTAAGGCATCCTCAGGAGTCCCTGATGTGAATTATACCTTCATTCGGAGTCCTCTGGGCCCTTAAAGAAGGAATGTTTCATTCATGGAGAATTCGTTCTCGGATTCCTTTGGACATCGTACGGGAGAAAGCTTCGGACTCCTCAGGGAATCTTGAGGACGTCTCTAGCAGGATGGATCCCAAAAAGATATTAACCTGGGTTTACAATGTTTCGGGACAGTTGACCAGGGTTCATAATGTCTACTCCGGAACATTATGAACCTTAGTTAAAATGTTCTGGGAATATTGATTGTGGTTCATATTTTTCCCCCCGGAACATTATAAATTTTGGTTTTTAATGTTCTGGGGATATCCATCCCAAAATCAGATTAACCTGGGTTTATCATGTTCCGGGAATGTTAACTGGGTAATGCTCCGGGATAGTTGACTAGGGTTCATAAAGTTCCCCCCGGAACATTATGAACCTGGGTTGCGACGTTCTGGGAATATTGATTGGGGTTCATAATGTTCCCCCTGGAACAATATAGACCCTGGTTGACAATGTTCTGGGGATATTCATCCCGAAAACATATTAACCTGGGTTTATAGTGTTCCAGAAATATTGATTGGGTTTACAATGTCCCGGGAATAATGAACCCGCTTTTCGTAATCCCGGAACGATACCAATTATTATTTCCTCCTTGTTCCCAGGTTCCTCACCAGGTTCTTCATGTCGGAATATAGACCCCAGTTCATTATCTCCAGAAGTTCGGACTCATCTTGTTCCCGGAATATGGACCCCGGATTCATTATTCTGGAATGATAATGATTGGCCTTGGGGGGCACAGTTGCATTCCGGACCGGTTTTCTTAGAGCAAACACGCTGACGAGCAGGGAACCGAGACGTGCGATGATGAGAGCACGATGGGGATTATATTGGGATGAGGTTCGGGGAAGAGGCGGGCCGTTTTCATACGCACGTCCTTCTCGTTTTACTCGGGCGCGTTTTTTCCAGGGCAAGCACGCTGACGTTGCAGGGGAAGAAAGGCTGCCATGCTGAGGGCATGGCGGTGCTCGGACGGGCCTAGGATTGAGGATGCGGAAAGGGAAGAATTGGTTTTATATGGACGACGTTCTGGTTTGATTCGAGCCTGGTTTGTTACCAGGACAACCATGCTCACGTTGGATGGGAAGGAAGGGTGCGAGGCTGAGGGTATAGCGCGTATGAGGCGGCGCCAGAATTCAGGATGCGGATCGGTGGATTGGTTTTCATGGGGACGTTGTTCTGGTTTTATTCGGAGGCAGCTTTTCCAGGGCAGGCGTGCCGATCCAGAGGTGAATGAGGAGTGTGATGATGAAGGCATGTGAGGGATTGGGATGCGGATGGGGTTCAGGATGCGGGTTGGTGGTGATGGTTTTCATAGAGACGTCGTGCTGGTTCTATTCGGGTGCATTTTTTTCCGGCGGTTTTTTGCTGACGTCGACGGGATGGAAGGGTGCGATGATGAGAGCTTGGGCGATTTGGAATGTGGATGGGGTTCAGGATGCGGGTTGGGGATGGTGGTTGTCATAAAGGCGCCGGTCTACTTCACTCGGGAGTTGCATAGCCAGGGCAAATGTTATGAGGTAGAGGGGAGGAAAGAGGTGCCCTGATGAGGGCGTGAAGAGATCGAGGATGAAGGCGAGGTGTTGTGCCCTCATGGGGAGCTCTCGGGGGCCTCTTGGAACTCTCCTTGAGCCCTCTTGGGGCCCTCCTGGAGCCCTCATGCAGCCCCAAGAGAGCTCTAAGAGGGCCCCCAAAGGGCTCCAAGACCCCCCCAAGAGGGCCCAACACTTTGTCACGAACGAGGCCCTTGTTTGTGACAAGGTGTCGGGCCCTCTTGGGGGCCCCTTAGAACCCTCCTGGAGCCCTCTCGGGGCTCTCTTGGAGCCCTCTTGGAGCCCAGAAAGGACCCCGAGAGGGCCCCCACAGGGCTCCAACGACCCCCCAAGAGGGCCCGACACCTTATCACGAAAAAGGGCCTTGTTCGTGACAAGGTGTTGGGCCCTCTTGGGGGGCTCTTGGAACCCTCCTGGAGCCTTCTTGGGACCCCACCTGCACCCCCTTCAGACATTCCTGGAGCCCTCCCGGGGCTCTCTTGGAGCCCTCCTGGAGCCCCAAAAGGGTTCTAAGAGGGCCCCCACAGGGCTCCAAGGACCCCCCAAGAGGGCCCGACACCTTGTCACGAAAAAGGGCCTTGTTCGTGACAAGGTTTTGGGCCCTCTTGGGGGGCTCTTGGAGCCCTCCTGGAGCCCTCTTGGGACCCCACCTGCACCCCCTGCAGACATCCGTAGTCGTTTTGGCGCAAGCTTCTTCCCAGCATCGCGGCGCACATGGATCTCTCCGAACAGCGCAAGTTGCTTCGGGCAGAGCGGCAATGGGAGAAATCCACGGGTGCCTCCAGAAGATTCCGCGGCTCAACCCCAGGAGAATCCAAGCACGACTTTATCGTCGAGAAGCTCGGTGTAACTGAGTACCGCTCGCCAGCGGCACGGGCAGGCATGCTGAAGAGAGCACGGGCTGCAGCGACGGCTGCGGATAACGAAGCTGCCGCAAAGGCCGCGGCCAAGAAGGCGAGGCTGGACTCGCAGAAAGCAGAACTGACGCACGCTGGCCTGGACGAGGAGGAGTTTGTAGACGACGTCGGCTCCTGGATCGCCCGCTGGCCCTCGTCCTCATCCGCTCTATCGCCCCCGACTCCACTCTGCATTCCCTGCGCGCCCTCAGCATCGCCCCTCCCTTACCCCTGCGCGAGAAAACGTGCGCCTCGAAGAAGCCGCTCCCAAATGAAACTAGACCGACACCCTAATGAGAGCCACTCCCCCGACCCGCATCCAGAACCCCATCTCCATCATCGCCCCCTCCACGTTCTCATCGTCGGGCCCCCCTCCCCGCCCACGCCAGCAGGTCAGCCCAGCAAGAGAACGCACACGAATAAAACCAGAACGACGCGCCTATGAAAATCAGTTCCCCACGAAGAGGAAAAGGAGGAGGAGGAGGAGGAGGGGGGGAAGGAGGAGGAGGAGGAGGAGGAGGATAATCCCAGTTTAATTCTACCTGCGTCGCCCACCCGCGATTCCAACGAAACCGACGTCCTTGCGGCATTACTCTGTTGCAGCGACGTTCAGACGCCGCCGAGACGGCCCAGATTTGCCAAGAATGCACTTCGATTGTACGCGTGCATGTTTGAGTGCGCGCGCGCGCGTCCGCCCGTTCGCGTTCGCGCGTGCACTTGCTGGCGCGCGCGCTGGTGTCTGTGAGTGCGCCTGTGTGTGCGCGTGCGCGTGCATCGCGATCATGACCGATGCGGTGATTCATGTTCCTGCGTCTCGCCCCGTGGACTTACTCCCACGCGGCTTCTCCTAGCAGGGCGCCGTCTCAACTATCTTGCACTTTCGCCCGTAACACATTGGCTCAAACTCTCTCCAGCTACCCCCCGACCCCCATCTTCCGCGGTTTAGTCCGTGCCCAGGCAGCTACCCCCACGCATCCGCAGACCTCTGCGTCGCGGCTGTCTCCTGGGGAGTGCCTCGACGCGCTGGCTGCGGACCTGCTTGCCGGGAAGATTGGCGACGTGCCTGCAGTTTGCGGCACTTCCGGTGCGTTCGCCGACGTCCTTGCAGGAAACGACTCGCGCATGCTTGGCGCGCCCGCGACAGACGCCCTCGCGCGCGGCTGCGCTGGCGCCAGTTCTGATGCCAACGCCGCCGCGCCTGCGAGCGGAACTGAGACGAGTCCAGGCCCCAGCGAGATTCTGGATCGCATCGAGGCGGATCTTCGCGACGGCAGCTTCACTTTCGACGACGACTGCACTGCGCCCTCGAGACTTTCTTTCCGCCGGGACGTCCCGCTGATCTCGCTCAGCCAGGTCCGCGCGCGGCCATTCCCCACCCCCTTCAATAGGCCATTGCGCATCGGCCTCGCGCAGGGGATCGCAGAACTTCCCATGGCGCCGCCGGCGAAGCTGCGGCGCCTCAAGTGAGCAGTCCGTTTGACAGCCGTGCGTTCCTATTTGCGCGGCTTCCATCGTGAATTGCCGCGGTTCGCACACTCCAAGACATTCGCCATGCCCTTGTTGCTGCCTTGTCCGCTGAATGCCGTCGTCGTGCTGCTTCGTCGCGCCGCTTTCGTTGGCCTTTGCTCGCTTCCCCTGGATATTATTCCCCGCCTGCTCGCCCGCCGTTTTCGGCCCCAGCGCCACCGTTGCTCATCTGATATCTGTCCACCGCAAACTTTTCTCCAGCGCTGCCCGCGCGCGGCGGCGCGGCGCCCGCTGGCCGAATCAACTGCTCCCGCCGCGATGCCGGCCGCTGCGCCGTCGAGCGAGCAGATCGACGCCTTCTTCCAGATGCTCGAACAGGCAGCGCCCTTCCCAGAGGCCGAGCTCGCCGCCCTCGCGCCACCAGCCGTCGTCGAGAAGTGGAAGAGCATCGGGGCAACGCAGAGCGCCCCCTGGATATGGGCCACGGTGCGTGAGCTCTCCCTCGTGAGCTTCCTGGCGCCCAACGCTCGCTTCACTCCGTTGGCGAGCTTCTTCGCGTTCTCGCTGAGCTGGATGTTATTGCTGCGCCCCGGCGCGCGCCGCACGCCCAACCTCTGGCTGCACCACTACGTGCTTCATGCTTTGGGGCGCGGACGCAGCTGCGCTTGCAAGCGTTGCCGAATCCAGCGGCCAAGGCAGCGCTGAAGGAACGCTTGCAGAAGCTGCGCGACGTCTCCTTCCGGGTTGGCACCGGCCCGTTGGAGGGCATCGGCTTGAAAATGTATTCCGACGCGTGCTGCGCGGCTGCCGGCAGCTTCCTCGCGGAGGGCTCGCAGTTCCTGCAATGGCTTCAGCAGGAACTCGGACTCAACAAAGCCATTGCGACGCAGCTCTGGGAGCGCATGGCGTGGCAGCGCGATGTTGTGAACGCGACGCGCTCCTTCGAGATGACCCACCCGTTCCTGGGAGTGCTCGGAGCGATTCATGTAGAGGACGTTTGGCACTTGTTCTCCCAGCCTGACCCGCTCGGCGCGCGCGGGCGCATCGGCTTCGCATACACCCGCCCCAGCATGAAAAGGGCACGTGAGATCCACGATGCAAACGCTGAGCTCCAGAACGAGAAAGGCACCGACAAATTGGAGGAGCGCATCGTGAACAAGTTCTTCGCCGTCTACAAGGCCCGCGCCATCGAGCACGTCGGCGAGGGCTCTTTCACGCATCATTTGGGCTACCCATTCCGGAACAACGACTTCCCCAGCACGGGCGGCGGTCAGGCTGAGACCGGGTTCTTCGACGTGTTCGACGCGCACGCGCAGCAGCAAGAGGACGCGCACCTGGTGCAGCACGAGGAGGCGAAGAAGCACGGGAAGCTGAAGGGCCTGCACCTGCGCCACGCCCTCAACTGGGCCAACGCGATGAATGCTCGGGGGGACGTGGCGTCCGACGCGTGGAACACAGCCATCGACCTCAACGCGCTCAAGGCAGCCCAGTTGATCGGGGATTTCTCCGAGAAGCTTGCCGACGAGATGTCCAACGTGGCGCGCGATGCCCCAGCCGGTGGGGGGGGCTCGGTCCCGGGCCGCGGGCATGCCGAAAAGATCCGCGTCACTTTATCGCTCTCGCTGTCCGCGCTGCGCCGGGAGATCCCCGTGGGCCAGCGCGCCTTCACCAAGGCCCTTGTCATCGCCATGCTGAAGATGCAGACTATCTGGCTAGAGTCGACGAACCTGAAGGCGCACAGCGAGATCCGTGATAACTTGCCCGCCGCCAGCAATGACGAGAAGTTAACCGCCGTCTGGCGGTGCATGGCGCTCGTGAAAGCGCTGCAGCTCGGGCGCGCCGCCATGTCCACGAACCCGCACGGCGCCAAGAAGATGCACCTCGTGAAGCGCTCCGTCATCGCCTCCGACGCGCACCGCCAGGAATTCGAGGCCGCGCTGAACGCTTTGGGTATGGAGCCCGGCCAGTACGCCGCGCCGACGGCGGAGGTCGCGGACGCGAGCCGCCCGCAGACGGCCCCCGCTCTGGTGCGCAGCGCTTGGGCCTCGGAGGCAGCGCAGGAGGCGGTGACCACTCTCCAGCAGTGGTAGACTAGGCCGCGCGCGCGCCCTCGCCATTATTCGCCCTGCGGCCAACTGCGCTGGCACGCCCGCTCTGCTCGCGCAGGCTTCGTTCCCCGCGCTCCGCCGCGCCCGCACGAGGTAAGAGCTTCGGCGGGCATGGTCTCGACCGCTTCTGCGAAGAAGCGATTGTTCACATGTCCGGCGCGTCTTTTTGCATCGCTGTGTTCCGCATGTCTCCCCGCGCTGTTCCCGGCCCCTTTGGCTTCGGGCTCAACTGCGCATGCGCCCGGCGCGCGCGCGCCCGCCATGGCGGCCGCCGCTGAACCTGGCGGCGCAGTCGGCGATGACGCGGCGCTCGCCGCGTCCTTGGGGCCGCTCCGCCCGAGGCATCTCGGCGCGCTGGCGCGAGCGTATGTCCTGAGCCATCCGGCTAGCCGCTGCTCGCGCGCGCGCCGGCTCTTGGAGGGCGCCGGCCACGGGCGCGCGGCCGAGCATATCCTCGCCGACGTCTTCAGCAACCTAGAAACCCGGCTGCCTCACCTCCTCGGAGGCGCGCCGCACGTGGCTGGCGCCTCGCTGCCAGAAGGCGCGCTGGTGGAACCTGCGTCGTCCGTCTGCCCCGAGTGCTCGTCGGCGCTGGGCCCGCAGGAGCCTCGATCAGCGAAGGCGTTCTTCTACGAGCACGGGTGGTGCGACGTGCGGTTTCGGACAGCGCGCCGCTGCACCTGCGCGGCCTCTTTCTCTGGGGCATGGTCTTTCGGGTCATTGAAATGCACTTCTGGCAGAAGCGCCGCGTCGCCAGAGGGCCAGGACTTGTTCCAGATCGCGGCGACGCCGCGCGCCAATTCCAAGCTGTTCATCCAGACTAAGGCTCTCTGGATGGTCCGGAGCCACATTGTCCGCAGCCAGGCCGGCTTCAACGCTCTCGCCGACAATTTCGCCGATCTCTTCGGGGGCTGCGCCCGGGGCACCAACGACCACAAGCGCTTCGAGTGCGCGTGAATGTCCTTTGAGATCATGTCCATCCTTTGGCGTTCTGACAGCGCCGCGGCGCAGCGCCCCCAGTGGCCCCTGGATTGCACGCACAACGCTTCCGAACTGCGAGGAGTCTACTTGAGCGTCCTCCCAGAGCTTCGCGCCTGCTTCCAACAGACGCATTCGCGCGACCACTCTCGCGTGCTGCGCCGCGTGCCCGCGGTCACGTTGGACGCGAAATGCGGCATCGCCTGCCCCGTCTGCAACCGCCGGGAGGGCGGCCGCGTGTTCTTCGCGCCCATCCAGTCCGCGGTCTGCCTCGGATGCGAAGAGCCACCACTGGGCATCTCGTCTTATTGTAAGACGCACTACGTGGGCGCCGCCCCGGGCACAGGCCACGCCCTGCGCGTGCTGCGCCATCGCGACCGGGACGGCGTGCGAGAGTACAAGTGCGACGGTAGCTCGCGGTGGCTGCCACGCTCGAACCTGCCCGAGCCCGCAGCGCAGGCATACGAGGAATGGATGGCCGAGGTGACGGCGCGGCGCAAGCGCCGCCGAGGGCACGCGGAGCCTGAGCAGGCAAGTTCCCATGGGCGATGCGACGACGGAGTGGGTCCTCCCGATGGCGGCGACGCCGCGACGTCTGAGCTCGACTTGCTCCCTGACGACGTGAACCCGTGCAATGTCGACAAAGCGGCCAGCGTGCCGAGGCGACGCTATGGTGGGCCCCTTGGTCTGCACACCCCCTTGCGGCAGAGTCTGCGACCTCTCCCCGCTGGCCGGCGGCGAGTCGCTCACGCAGGTGCACGCGATGTTGTCATCGGCGATGAGCCAGAGAACTGTCGAGCATGTCTTGTATGACCACGCCTGCGCGCTGGCCCGCTTCGCGCGCCACGCGAAGCGGTCCTCCCGGACGGCCGCCGCGGCGCAGATCGCTCTCCAGAAGTACGTCCTCGACGCGTTGCATGTCGCGAACCACCGCGCGTGCACGGACCCAGACCACCATTTGTGCATGCCAGAGGTTCAGCGGGACAGTCACCCCGCGCTCGCCGGCGTCGACACGCAGACGCGCGAGCAGTTCTTCTCGTGGCTTGGCGGCCTCTGCCCCATCATCCAGAAAATGGCGCCAGCTACTTTTAAGGTGTTCTTGCTCCTGGTCTGCCACTGGCATAATCTTCTCGTGGCGGACGCGTCGGGCCGCGCGACTCGCCCGCCGCGACGGCATGCAGCCGCAGCGGCGCGAGCGTCGCCGCCGGCGCCGCCTCCCGCGTGCGCATCCGCGTCGGACTCAAGGCAGGCACCCTCAGCAGCGCGCCTCGCCCGGAATCCCCAGGGGGCGGGGGCGTGGGGAGCCGGAAAATTCCATTGGATAGAGGACGCTGCATCTCCGCGGACCCCTTGCCGCCGCGCGTCAACTTCAACGCTTCGCGAGGCGTCCAATTTCAACACTCTGGATATCCGCCGCGACCCGAATGCCGGCTTCGCCTTGCATCGTGCCACCGGGAAATGCGAAGAGTGCACGCTCTGCGCGCGGCTTCTATCGATTGGCGCTCGGCCACGTCCGCCCCCTTGCCGCAGTCCTAATTATATCATGTGCGAGCGATTTTCTTGGGGGCCATCTTGGTGTCTCTTGGGCAGCCTCTCGGGCGTTTCTTCGTCACCTTTCCGAGCTCACCTGGAGTCTTTTGGGAGCGTCTTCGAAACCTCTGCGACCTCGCTGGCGATCTCGGGCCGCATGTTTCGCGAAGAGCTTCAACACTCACTTCGGGTTCCCTCTCTTGGGCCTCTCCTGACTGGCGAGACGCCCCTCAAACTCGGACGGCGAACTCGATAACCTCAGGAGGATACCAACCCAACCTCCCACGAAGCTCTGCCAGCACGCTTCTACATGCAGCAGGCCAGGGCGGCGGACTCAAAGCCGGCTGTATTTTTCAGCCCTGTCTGTCTGTTGCGTCTGCTTTAGACGTTCTGGAAGTGGCGGGCTCCTTTGCCACAAAACATTCCCTGCGAAGCCACCTTCCGTCATGATTGCAGATCCCTCCTTTCCCCTCGTCATCGTCGTCCACCTCGTCGTCGTCGTTGTCGTTTCCACCTTCTCCGTGGCATGTGCGCTCTCACCGCCACTGTGATTATCGCTGCAGTTCACGCGTCTCTAGGCCATCTGGGGCAGCTCGCGTGGACCGAGTCTTGTCCCAGCGCTCTGACGCAGTCTTCGGCCTCTGTTGGGTTGGTCTTCAAGCGTCGTGGAATTTGCTCCAGCGGCTTTGTCGATCGTCTTACAGTCACCCTTCCCGTCTTCTAACCACCGTGGCAACATGAGCACGGCACGACCATTCCGGAATGAGAACAATGATTCGTTAATCGCTTCGATCATTCCGCCATCCCATATTGCGCCCCTCTTCCTATACGTTCGCGCGCCTGGGCAAGGAGGAGACAGAGGAGGAGGATGAGGGAGGAGGACGAGGAAGAGGAGGAGGAGGAAGAGGACGAGGACGAGGAGGCGGCTTCTCGATACCACTTCGAGGCGCTTTGCGAGGCCAGCGTTAGTCGCTGACCAAAGCGCTCTTTCGGAGGCTTCCTCAGGTATCTCGGGAAGCCAGTCGGGCGATACTTGATGGTATTTCTGAGATTGTCTCATGGATCCTCTTACGGGGTTCTTCGGGGCCCCTTGATGTCTCCTGGAGGCCTTTCGGAGACGACGCATCTAATATCAGGGCGGTTGCCTCGTCAGAGCCTCCTTCGAGTCTTCATCGAGGCTTCTTGGGCTGTCTGGGAAATCATTTGAGCTGTTTCTGATGTTTCTGGAACCGATCCGAAGCTCTTTCGGAGTTTTCTGGCGCCGTCTCGGGCGATCTTGGGAGCTTCCCGGCTTGTTCTTTATTCTGGAATAATAATAATGGAGCCGGGGGAGCGGCTGGGAATAAGATCTGGATTGAGATTAACCCTTGTTCATTCTGTTCGAATATGATCTCAGCTTTATTATTCCAGAATGAAAATGATCCGCCCGGGGGGGGAACCAGTTCATCTAAATGACAACCCAAAGGGTGATATCATCTACACATATTGCGCCTAGGTTAATTATTGTTATGTAATCAACCACGGTCGATGTTCTGGGAATCACTAGTTCTGCTTTGTTATTTCATAATGATAATAATGAAACGGGCGGGCGCGTGAGAAGAGAGCCTGGACTGAGATCAACACTGGATCATAATGTCGGAATATCGATCCCATAATCATTATTCCAGAATGATAATGGTCCGGCGGGGGGAGGGTCCCGTTTGAGATGAGGACTTGAACTGAGATAAACCTTGATTCAAAAATGTCGGAATTTTGAACCCCGATTCATTATTCCAGAATGATAATGATTCGGCGGGGGGGGGGGGGGGGGGGGGGGCGATTCCTCCATGGGACAATGATCCAATGGCGGTATCAACTTAGGTTTATCACTCTTACATAATGAACCACGGTCGACGAGGATTTCGCACCTACCCTCGTCTCTAGGGCTGGTTTTTACGAGATCCTTCGGACATAGTGGGGAGGGAGCTTGAGGGTTCCTCCGAACATCATAGCACCTAGAATTAAGCGTGTTCGGCCATGTCACACCCAAGCCATCCAATGTTCTTGCAGCTGTGTATTGGGAAGGGCGGTGCAGGAGTGCACAGAGATGGATCCTGCCATTCACGGCGAACTGCCCCACAGGGCCTGACGGTCAAGGAGTGATGGCCATGCGCTACGAGTACACGATTTCGTTCGTTCTGGACGCGCCCATTCTCAGACCTCCAATCTCTTGATTTGTTCAATCCGCGGGGAAGCCCCGACCCCGTCCCAGGGACCAGTTCTGAGGGCGTTGTTGTTTGATTACGGACTTGCATGGCATCTCCCCCCATCGCCTCCGCCGCCTTTGCAAACATCTCATGACCGAAAAGGCGCGCGAATTCCAGATGTCCTTCCGGGCCTCGCCACCTCCTCCCCTCCATGAGTTCGCCCGACTTAGATGAAAAACGAAATTGTCGTAGGTAGCATTGATGGTCTCGGAGAGGCTGCAGAAGTGTTGCAGTTGCACCTCGACAGAAGTCGCCCCGGGACCGAACTATTATAAGTACGTACCCCCACCAGCCCGTCCAGGGACGATGCCCAGAAGAGTTCTTCTGATCGGGGATATGGAAGAGCATGCAGTGGAATGCAGGGCTGGGTAAGATGTAATACCCCAAGAGGGGGAGGATGGAGGAGGAATCGGAGGAGGAGGAGGAGGAGGAGGGAGAGGAGGAGGAGGAGGAGGAGGAGGAGGAGGAGGAGGAGCAGAGCGAGGAAGGAGGAGGATGGAATAGGAAGGAGGAGGACCCTGGGTCGTATTGTGACGGTCCCGGAGCCCGGAAGGGGCATTCGGATGCCGAAAATTGACACCCGTCTGTCTTGAGTTTTTCAAGACGTTGGAGGTCTGGGTCTCGCCGCGGTGCATTCGGCGGCCACGAGCGCAGCAGTATCTGAGACCGCGGGAGGCCACCGACGAGGACCGCCTGGCTTCCCGCGCCGCGCGGAGCTGCTCGCCCAGGGTAGGGGGGCGCCAGCCGTTAGATGTTCGTGTTGGGGGACCTGCCTGGGGCCGACCTGACGGATCCGATCGACTCTCAATCGATTCTAGTTCGAGTCAAGTTCAATTCTAGCCCGACTCAGGGTCGACTCTGGCTCGATTCAGGTTAGGTTCGTTCCGCTCGAGTCGACGGACGTTCGACGCAGCGTCGACGCATGAGAGGAGCGAGTGGCTCCAGGAAGGTCCGCAGAAATATCATCTATGAGCCAGCACCGCTCCTGTGAGACCAGGCCTGTCCTGGGTTCAGGATCGAAGTGCCCTCAACCCCCTCGCGTCGTAAAAGAGAAATGAGCTTGGCGAAGGACGCAACCGTTTGCAGTTGTGAGCAGTGTCGTTGGTGGAGCTCCCGATGGGGCCACGAAACGTGTGAGGGGTGAGCTGGAAGGGGTGCGGGGACCGCATGCGAGCACTGCCACCAGGTTTTTCGGTGGCGCTCCTTATGAGGCCACGAAACGTGTAACGGTGTGCCGAAATGGGCGGGGGGTCGCATGCGGCCGCGGCCAGTGGGGCCTTCGGTGGAGCTCGCTATTGTACCACGAAGCGCTGTACTAGGCGGGGGGACATGCGGGCTGCGCCAACGGGACCTTCGGTGGGACTTCTTCTGGGGCCACGAAGACCGTGAGAGGTGTGCCGACATGGGTGGCGGGGACGCATGCGATCTGCGGCACTGGGACCTTCGGTGGAGCTCTCTACGGGGGCTACGACACGTGGGAGGGGTGTGCCGACATGGGTGCGGGACCGCATGCGAACCGCGCCACGGGGACCTTCGGTGGTGGGGCCACGAAAGGTGAGAGGGGTGTCACGAAACAGGTGCGAGAAGACGCATGCGGGCTGCGCCATTAGGAACTTCAGTGGATCGTCTTATGGGGCCACGTAGTGTGTGAGGGGTGTACCGAAATGGGTGCGGCACCGCGTGCGATCTGCGGCACAGCTCCCTATGGGGCTACGACATGTGGGAGGGGTGTGCCGAAATGGGTGCGGGACCGCATGCGAACTGCGCCACGGGGGCCTTCGGTGGTGGGGCCACGAAAGGTGAGAGGGGTGTGCCGAAATACCCCACATCCCTTATTAAACGGCCCCCCTTAAAATACCGGCCCCACCTGCTTCGGCACACTAATACTCCGGCCCCCCCTCCACGGGAGGCGCCTTAACATTCTGGCCCCCCCTCTGGGAAAGTTGACCGTTGTAGTTAAGTTGGTGGACATGATGGGGCTGTGGTTACACAGTGGTGACTGCATTGGTGATCAGAATTGTCGGTTTGCGAAATCGACAACACATGTGATCAATACGATGAACACCATGATCGTGCATGTGATGCTGTGGTTATCACCATATTATCATCGCCGTCATGTTCACAATTGAGATCACCACCGTTATCATGATCGCCGTCGAGTGCGGTCTTGAAACATATTTGCAGTTTATTAGGAGCCATCCTGAAGGTCAGTTTCAATCCTCTTGCCCAAAATGGCCATTCAAAAAGCGCCATAGTTATCCGGCCCCCCCTTCGCTTCGTTCACGCGAAACCGCCTTAATATTTCGGTCTCTCCCCCTTTGGAAAAGTGCGCCTTACTATACCGGTCCTAGGGGCCACTTATAAGGGATGTGGAGTAGGTGCGGGAAGACGCATGCGGGCTGTGCCATTGGGAACTTCGGTGGATCTTCTCATGGGGCCACGTAATGTGTGAGGGGTGTACCGAAATGGGTGCGGCACCGCGTGCGATCTGCGGCACTGGGACCTTCGGTGGAGCCCCCCACGGGGCCACGACACGTGGGAGGGGTGTGCCGACATGGGTGCGGGACCGCATGCGAACTGCGCCACGGGGACCTTCGGTGGTGGGGCCACGAGAGGGGAGAGGGTTGTGCCGAAATAGAAGCGGGAAGACGCATGGGGGCTGCGCAATTGGGAATTTCGGTGGATCTTCTTATGGGGCGCCACTGGGGTCTTCATTGCGCTCCCCCTGGGACCACGAAACGTGTGAGGGGTGCGCCAAAATTGATGCGGGACCGCATCCGATCTGCGCCACTGGGGTCTTCGGTGGAGCTCCCCCTGGGACCAAGAAACGTATGAGGAGTGCGCCGAAATGGACGTGTGGAGGGCAGAGGCAGGAGTGGGAGGGGGAGCAGGGAGGAGGCAGGAACGCAATCTGGGCCCAAGACCACAGGATGGTTGGGAACAAGACAACGAGAAAACTAAACAGACATTATCCTGGCGAAGGACCCAACCATACATCGGCCAAATGAAAGTTCCTTGGATTTTCATCACAGCGCTCGCTACCCGAGCCGACGGAAGTAAAAACGAGGCGGAAGTCCACGGAAGGTCGTTGGAAGGTTTGCGGAAGACAGCGGAAGTAATCGACGCCTTGTCCGACCCCCCCAACCCCCCGTAGGAGCCTAGCAATGTAGTCTTCTGCCGTGGGCTGGGCAGGATCCCGCCTAATTGACTACCCTTTAATGTTCTCATTTCAGTTTTGCCTACTTTAATTTTAGTCCCACCCATGAAAAATAAGGTAAACAGATATCTCGGGTCGTTCACGGATCCCGCCGTGCGGGGATCGGCTCGAAGTAAGATGGGGCAACGAAGTTGCAGCACTCATGCCATGTCAGGGTCGTCCTGAGGTCATGTTGAGATCATATCTCGGTCATGCTTGGATCGCGCAGCCGTCACATGTTCATTATGGGGCCGCCCTGGGCGCTCGTGGATCCGTCTTGTTGCCATCGGGCCATCTCGGCGTCGCTCGTGGCTCATGTATTTGGTCCTCTTCGAGTCCGTCTGAGACGGTCCTGAATCCATGGTGGGATCGTGTTGGGGTGGCGTCATCTCAGGGTCATCTGGACGTTATCGCTTGTGGCCTCAGGCCCTCCTGGAACCATTTGCGGCCATGGGGGCGTGTTGGGATCGCGCGCGAGCGAGCGCTGAGCACGCGCGCGCGACAACTCATCTCGCCGATGGGCGTACAGACATCTGCGTCTTGTTGCAAGTGTCCGAGGAAACTTTTGTTGGAGCCAGTATGCAGTTGTGAGTACCGGCGTTGTGAGGAAAAAACAAACAACCTTCGGTTGAGCTCACTACGGGTCCACGAAGCGCGTAAAGGGAACACCGAAATGAGGCGGGGCCGCCATGCGGGCGCTGCCGCTGGGACCGCCCGCAGGTGGCGCAGAGGTCCAACGAAACGGGTTACATGTTGATGTAACCTTTTTGCGGTTGACACGCACCCTGAGAAGCGGGAGAAGACATGCGGGCGCGGCACGCGAACGCAACGATCGGGGCCTTCGTTGGAACGTGTGAGGCGTGTGCCAAAGTGAAGGGGGGGGCGGCATGCCAACGCAGCCGTTGGCGCCTTCGTTGGAGCTCCCTATGGGGCCACATAACGTGTGAGGGGTGTGCCAGACTAGTGGGGTGGGGGCACGCGGGCGCAACCATTGAGGCCTCAGGTGGAGCTCCCTATGGGACCGCGAAAAGTGTGAGGGGTGTGCCAAATTGAGGGGGGCGGCATGCGGGCGCAGCCACCTGGGCTTTCGGTGAAGCTCCTTCGGGCACGGAACGTGTGAGGAGTGTGCCGAAATTGGAGGATGGCGTCATGCAGGCGCAACCACTTGCCTCTGAGGTGGAGCCCCCTATGGGACCACGAAACGTGCGAGGGGCGTGCCAAGTGAGGGGGGGCTGCGTGCGGGCGCAGCCATTGGGGCCTCCGGTAGAGCTCCCTATGGGACCACGAAGCGTGAGAGGGGTGTGCCAAATGAGGGGGGGCGGCATGCGGCCCCAACCATGGGGGCCTTAGGTCGAGCTCCCTATGGGGTTACGAAACGTGGACGGAGTGGCGGCATGCGGGCGCAACCAATGGGGCCTCAGGTGGAGCTCCCCATGGGGCCAGGAAACGTGTGAAGGGCGTGCCAATGTGAGGGGGGGGATGGGAGGAGGGAGGAGCGGGACGAGGAGGAGGAGGAGGAGGAGAGAAGGAGGAGAGGAGAGGAGGAGAGGAGGAGAAGAGGAGAGGAGGAGAGAGAGGAGAGGAGAGGAGAGGAGAGGAGAGGAGAGGAGAGGAGAGGAGAGGAGAGAGAGAGGAGAGGAGAGGAGAGGAGAGGAGAGAGAGAGAGAGAGAGAGGAGAGGAGAGGAGGAGGAGGAGGAGGAGGAGAAGGAGGAGGAGGAGGAGGAGGAGGACGAGGACGAGGAAGAGGACGCGGGGCACCGTCTCTTCAAAACGAGGACCCAACCAACACCACGGGGTGGCTGGGAAAAACAATCGACGGACGGTGTTTGGCATTTTCAGCCCCTGGGAGGCCGCACGGGGTCCCAGGGGCGCCGTCGAGAAACGACTAGGGATGAACAGCTGGCCCCCAGAGAGAGGTCCAGAGTCCAGATCTCCAGAGCTTCCGCGTTGCACAACGACCACGACGTCGGGGTCTCGGTATACATGCTCTTGGGAATGCTTCTGGGCATCCGACGCCGCCGTCTTTCGGTGACGAGGGCCCTCCCCCCTCGGGCTTTGCTTTTCACCCCCCTGTTGGGCGTCGCGTACTGGGGGGGGCGATGCACGAGGGGGGGGGGCGCGAGGCCTCCCAGATGGGGTCCGAGCATAGTTGGGGTCGGAGGATCGCGCCGCATCGCCGATGCATCGACGATGCGGCTCGATGCGGAGCCCGATTGTCTCCACGACGACGTCGCCGATGTACCGCCGACGTGGCCGATGCATCGCCGATACATCGGCGATGCATCGGCGTACGATGCGGCGCGATCCTTCGACCCCATCTGCTCGGGCCCCATCTAGGAGGCATCTAGAATCGGAGCTCACGTAAACGAAGGTTCTAAATAGTTCTTCCCTTGGGGGCGGAACCACTCAGAATTTTACAGGTGCCAGCCGCGGCCAACTCCACCTAGTTAGAGTGGAGCTGGCCGTTCGCGGCGCGGATTGCGAACTACAGAGAGAAGGTTGGAATTGCTAAGAATTTCGGAACAATGAGGGTCAGCGCGAACGGGGGTCCGCCGGTCCCCTCCGGCTGACCCGGTAGTGGGAGCCGCGTTGGGCCGATTTCCCTTGTCCGCCCTCCGCTGACTCGGGTCTGTGCCGAGCGGTTGTCCTGGCTTCGCGACGGGGCCCTGGCCAATCCGGGTTTGGGCTGACCCGGGCCCGCGCTTCCCCGAAAGAGTGGGGACGGAGGCCAGCAGCAGGTCCTGTCCAGTTGGGACAGGGCTTGTTGTCGGCGTGGCCGCGGGCGTCGTGCATTCGAGACAGAAGGCCGCCTGTCCCTCGGCGGCTGTTTCTTTGGGGGGACAGCACTTGTGTCTGGGCGGCTGAGCACTGTACCCACTTGTTCCGCCCCTGCTTTCGGGCGTGCCAACCTCCGCCTACAGTGGATGGAGTCCACAAGAAACCTTCCACCAGAAACCCAACGCTGACACCCCAGGACGTCCATTGATTTTTGGTGTGGGAACGTCACGGTATCCATCCATAGTAAAACCATCGAAACCCAAGAAACCCAGGGCACCCTGGAGGCAAGCAGGGTGTTTATTGGTATTGGCCTCCACTGTATATACAGCCAGGACGTCGAGAAAAGTACCCCCGTCCCGCCACCGATCTCGGGCGTGCCAGCCTCCGCCTATACACTTGGCATCGCTCGGACGTGTGCATTTTTTCTCGGCGAGAACCATCGAGGACCATCCTGGCCCATCGAGCAACACAACACGCACGAAACCGAAAAATGCACGGGAAATGGACGTCCGAGCGACGGCAAGTGTGGTACGGTCAGCTCACACGGTGAGCATGGGCAATTTTCCCCAGGGTACCCTTTGCATCCTCAGGCTTGAGTCGGGCCTGTCCCTCTTCAGAAGGAACAGTCAAAAATAGTAATAAAAAAAGAAGCATGGAACGCTGTTTTTCATTTGTCCTCCAAAATCCGCCTGTGGGGGCCTTCACCAGGCCCTAGGAGCGTCAATCGAATTATTATTCGGCATGAAAAACAGTCCCGCTGATGACCGCGGTGCTTGCTAAGGGGATAGGTAGTTTAGAAGTGGATGCTAAGGTGGGTGATATCTGGCCTGAGCTAGCTCAGAAGTGGGTCTGAGGTGCCCGAAGGGCCACTTCGGGCACTCGTAACCCAGGTATCAGCTAGCTCAGGCCAGATAGAACACACCTCAGCGTACACTCCTTACCCCCGTATCGCCTCAGCAACCGCCGCGGTCATCTCGGTAGGGAGGACTCCAGGGGAGGTGGACACCGTGGCCGGGGGGCCACGACGGCTTCCCAGTTCCAAGTCCCTCTCTGCGCCTCTCGAGCAGACGCCCCCCGCTCGTCCGCGCACGTGCCTCGGGCCGTGGTGCGCTGGTCCCCCCCCGGAGGGAGGACGAGGAGCAGGGAGGAGGACGACGACGAGGAGCACATGGAGGAGGTCCTCCACCCCCCCCCCTCCTTCGGATGGGTCCGATTGCTCCGACACGCCGATCGTAGCATCGTGTCGCTCCCGGGCCCAGGGTCGGTGCCACGGGCACTCCTGGGCCAACTGGGCCAGGAGGGCGCACGCGCCAGTCCTGGGCCGGGAGCGGCCCGGCCAGGGCCACTGCGCGCCGGTCGTTCAAAGTAGATCTTTCTGGGCTCCCAGATCCCAATCTACGTCAAGCGCCTTCCTACTTTCCAGGATCAGCCTGCTTTTGCTGCGTGTTGTTCTTCTCTCGGGGGTCCCCAAGCGGGGTGGTGACCACACCGTGCGGTGAGTCGGTGGGGATTCGGGGTCACCGCGCCGTTTTGGGACTCGGGTCGTTCTCCGAGGACGTCTCAGGCGACGGGGGCCTCTGGGGTCCCAAGACCGTGCGGTGGCGGACCGTGAGGTCACCGCACGGTCTGTCACCGCACCGTTTCGGGACTCCAAATTCTCTGGGAGGGCTTGAACCCAATTTGCTTTGTCCGTTTTCCTACTTTTTCCGACCGACGTGTAGGGGTGTATAGTTGACGCCCTCCGACCTCGACGGCACGGAAGAGTGACCCCTTTGACGGAGTGGCCTTTGGTGCGGGCCCACACTGGTCTTTCGCCCCCCGCTCGCCGAGCGCAGTGCGAAAAAGTTGCGTCTTGCGCGCTCATGTTTGGTCCCCCCAGCGGCCCCCACAAGGCCGCGCACAAAAGTCACTCTTTCTAGGCCTCCTAGATGGGGATCGGAGGATGGCGCCGCATCGGCGATGCGGCTCGATGTGGAGCCCGATTTGCTCCATGTCGATGCCGCCGATTTATCGCCCACGTCGACGATGCATCGCCAGTGCATCGCCGATGCATCGCCGATACATCGCCGATGCATCGCCGCGCGATCTTCCGACCCCATCCACTCCGGCCCCATGCCTCTATTCCTACCCAGGGTCATTCCTGCAGGTAGCCGCCTACCCCACGCCCCAACCCCCTCCCGCTCGCGTGAGCGGGCACGCGTCTCACGAGCTTGAACAGAAGGTCTTCATTGTCGAGGTTGCGTCCTTTCTGAGGAGAATCCTTGAGGCCTCGCGCGGCGCGCAACAGTAGCATTATCCAGTCCACACGTCAGGTCCGTAAGCTGTGCGTCGACGCTCGCGCGGCGATGCTCCAGAGTCAGTTCGACGCAACTCCGACGTGAACCCGACGAAAATCCGCGGATCCGACGCAAATCGCGTCTCCAGTTGCCGCGCGAGGCCTCCAGGATGTTCCTCACAACGTGCTCCACGCCACGCCCCAGCGGGCAGTGGCGCGCTCGCCAGAGGAGCGCGCACGCCGCAGGCGTGCGCCTCGTTCGTCGCTCCCGACCGACGACGGCGACGACGGCCTCCCTCCTGGCGAGCCGCGGGGCGGCGGCGCGGCTGAGCGCCCCTGCGGCTGGGCCCGGCTCGGCGCCCGCGCTTCGCCGCCACAAGCCGCCAGCGCGCTCGGAGGCTCAAAGATCGGGTGCGGCCAAAGGTTCGGTCGGGCGTGTCCCACTACAGGAGGAATGTTGTAAGATTCAAAAATAGTATAAAGCAAATGTCTGGGGACGATTGTTCTGTTATTCCTTACTGTTGTGAATTTTGTTTAGCCTATGTTTGAGGGTTCCTCAAATCCGCCTGTAGGAGGACATGCCCGACCTAAGCCAAAGGGGGGGGGATCAGGGGCAACATTAGAGGGGGAAAAGTACAGGGGAGGATAGATCGACCCCCAATCGCCCACTGATCGCCGGAGGGGGCCCGCCAGCCCCAGCCTGCCCAGGAGGGTGCGGTTTTGCTATTGGGGGCCTGTCGCGATGTATCGCCGATTCCAGGTCGATGTTCCCCCCGATGCCAACCCTCCCTTATCGTTGCCCCTCAGGTGATGGCCAGGGGGGGTGTATAAATCATGGCGGGGGACATGATATCTCCAAGATTCCTTCTGCTTCGCGGGGAGCACGCCAGGAGCACGTAAAGACTGGGCGTTGAGTGGTTTGCCTTGCGTGTCTGCCGCCATGGTCTACCATGTCGTCATGCCCGCCCCCGGGCGTTGCCAACGCCGCGGGGGACGGATGCGCCCACCCCCCATTCAGCGGTGGGACGTGCGTGCGAATGCACATGAGGGCAATGAGCATTCACCGCGTGTCAGCACAAAGCAACGCCAAGCGTAAACTCCGGTGACCATAGCAACAGCGCGCCATTCGTATACAATTCCGCTGGCCTCTTGGTGGTTCCTCGGGGCCGCTTGGGGTTTTTGTCGGGGGCCTTTCCGGGTTTTGGGGGGGGGGTCTTGGGAGTTTCTTGGGGGGGGGGGGGGCTTTTTGGGTGGTTTCGTGGGGGGGGCCTCGCAAAACAGCCTGCTTTCGCGCTCTTGCGAATGCCTCAGAGAAACCGAAGTGTCGTCACCACTTCATCACATGCTACCAAAAGTGGCTCTCGCGCCGCATGGCGGAATCATTCGCGCGCCCTTGCGCGTATGCTTGGAGAGCACGACCCTTGTCAAATAATAACGCGCGGGCCACTCACGCGAGTCGACCTCGCGCGCAAGTCGAACTTTTCCAAAACCTTCATCACCGACGCGAGGACACCATCATCGTCATCGGCGTGGACAGCATCGGCGCAGTCATTGGCACTGTCGTCGTACATGTCATCATCGCCATCAGCATCTCTACTATCATGATCGTGTCTGCCAGTGTCGACGCCGCCTTCATACCGAGCCCGTCCGAGTCACCGACTCGCACTGATGTGCCCGCGCGTCAGCGCATCCTGCGAAACGCGCCGAGCAATTCCCGGCAGTCAGCGCCACCGCGGCCGCGTCGGTCGCGCCAGACTAGGTGGCCGCTATGCGCGCGAGCCTAGCTAGCGCGGCCGCAGCGATGAAACATCCACCTCCAAGCAGCCATGGAAATCGCCGCCGCCACCCGATCCTGTGTATCCCTACAACACCCAAAACTGTTGAAGGATTCCGGCATGCGCGCGCGACGACGAACCTGCCTGCATTTCGTCCCGTTCTGTTGCGAAGGGGCTCTTGCACAGCGATGGTTTTTGGTAAGCGAGTGCTCGCCCATAGTTTTATTTGACGAAGATGATGGCGGGGTGGGGCCCAACCTGGCTGGGATGGTACGAACTCATACTTGGAAAGAACGATGGGGAAGAATCGTCTGTACTTTGAAATCTCTGTTGTACGCGAGCCCGAACGGATAACCCTGGGGGCAAGGGGTGGTAGATCCCAGTTCTTATTCAAGCGAGTTGACATTCCATGTTTGTGCAAACATCCCACCCTCCCATCCACAACTTGGTTGGCAAAAGGCACCTGTGCCAATGGGTGCCTTTGTGGCGCCCCAGGAAAACAGGCGGGTTGGCAGCCCGATCGTCTCCACAGCTCGACGGGGCTGTGGGAGAGACTCTTGCCCTGTGGTTGGCCAGCCACAGTAGGTGCGGGCCCGCCGTACCACCCCTGAGAGGCCCGATGGGGTTACTCGAAGGGGTCCCCCGACGTGGGGGGCGCGGGAACTTAAGTCCTTGGGCGGCGGGGCCTCCGCTGCTTGAGGCCGGCGGCCAAGTGGGGGTGGTGCCGGTGGCCGTGTCTCGGGGTGGCATCTCGAGGCACCTCGCAACGGCGGCGCGGATAACGCCGGGGGCGGTCCGTGCCGCCGTTCGTGTTGCGAGGTCCGACTGCATGTGAATTCACGCAGGCACCTTGGGCACCTCCCTTCGGGTTGTGTCGCCCAGGTGTTCTGTCCGGGCACAAAAAAAAACTTGGTTGGCAAAACCCATGCGGCGGCGATTGAGATGAGTGTTTGGCGTTGGCTGGTGCATCTCTGCGACGACGGCGCGGCCAGTGACGGCGCCGATGCTGATCACGCCAGCGACGATGACGGCGTCCCCGCGTCGGTGATGAAGTTTTTGGAAAGAGTTTGACATGCGCGCGCGGCCGGCGCGCGAGAGTGGCCCGCATGGTGTTATTTGACACGGATCGTGTTTCCCCAGCACGCCCGCGAGGGCGTGCGAATGATTTCGGCATGCGGCGCGAGAAGCCCGCTTGGCAGTTGTCCGCGCCAGCGTTGTAGAGAAAAATAATAATAATAATAATAAACAAGAAAACGATGGTTTGTTGAAGAATTCGCGAAAGCGCGAGCGCAGGCTTTTTTGAAAACTGATGTTGCGAAGCCCTTAATATTGTAGTGGCCTCCAGCCAGTGCCGACGATCTGGGGCGTTCCGGATGATGATGGTGATGATGATGATGATAATGATGATGATGATGATGATGATGGTGATGGTGATGGTGATGGTGATGATGGTGATGGTGATGGCGGTGGTGATGATGCCAGCCCCCCCCAATGTCCCCCCCCCCTGTCCTCTCCTCATGTCCCCCCCCCCTCCTTGTCCCCCCCCCCTCTCTCTCCTGTCCCCCCCCTCTCTCCTTTCCCCCCCTCTCTCCTGTCCCCCCCCCCCCCGTCTCTCCTTTCCCCACCCCCGCCGTCTCTCTTGTCCCCCCTCCCCCTCCTATCTCCTGTTCAACCCCCCCCTTTCTCCTGTCCCCCCCCCCAACCTCTCCTGTCCCCCTCCCCCCCCCCCTCTGTCATTTCCCCTCCCCCTTCCCCCTCTCTCCTGTCCCCGCCCCCCGTTTTCCTGTCCCCCCCCCCCTCTCCTTTCCCCTCTCCCCCCCCTCTCTCATGTCCAGGGGGGGGAGCTGGGGGAAAGAGAAGGTGCAGAGGCGGGGGAGGTGCAGGAAGAGCGCGAGCGCAGGCCTTTTTGAAATCTGATGTTGCGAAGCCCTTATTATTGATACGTGTTTGGGATACTCGGTTTGGAAATCGCTACGACACCGAAGGTTTTTGACGGATTTTGGCATGCGCGCGCGACGCCGCGCGCGCGTGCACGTCGTCCCGTTTTTTGGCGAAGGGTTCTCGCGATAGCACGCGCGCAATGGCGTTCAAACGATTTCGACATGCGTGGTAGCATTTTACATGAATTTTGAACAGTCAAAGGTTTGGTTGACAATTCGCAGAAGCGCGTGCGCAAGCTTTTGAAAACCCATGTTGAGAAACCATGTTCATATGTTTCGAACCATCGATTTTGACATCTTAACGAAACCGATATGTTTGAAGGATTTCAGCATGCGCGCGAGACAACGCGCGCGTGAGCGCTTCGTCGCATATGTTGCGAAGGGTTATTGGAATTGCTGGTTTTTGTTAAGCGAATGCCCGCGCATAGTATATATATATATATATATATATATATATATATATATATATATGCAGTGGATGGCGGGGGGGGCGGATACCGGCTCGCGTGGGATGGTAAGAATTCATAGGGGAAATGAGCAAGAAGGCATATTCACGCGTAAATTACAATACGCGAGGCCGAATTGATAACCTTGGGGGGGGGTAGGATCTAGTGTTTAAGAAAGAGAGGAGAATCTATGTGGTGCAGTCCTTGTTGCGGCGACGGGGTGGCGAGGGGTCGGCGACAGCGCCGACATAGCCGCCAGACCGACCGTCGGGCCAAGACGACGGGCGGCGACGGGGCGACGACGGCGGCGACACAGCCGTGTGATGCCTTTTCTGGTTGTCTTCGCGTTCTTGCCTGACGATGTTTTTAATTTTGCCATGATCTCGTTACTGCCTTCAATTATGGGTGCTGTTATATGGATGGTGATTTACGGTGCCTTCGAAGATGCCAACGCGTTTGATGTTGCAATTATGTTCCATGGTTGCTGCTCTCTAGCTGGCGCGACACGACGACTGGACACTTATGAGTGAGTACTTCAATGTTCTTGTTATGGTTTCCTGTGGGTGGTGCTGTGTGGCTGGAACCTTGTAATGTCAGTGATGGTCACGGTGTGCGCGTTCTTGCCCCCGTGTTCTATGGACAGGGTGCTCTATGGCTGGCGCCCTATGATGTCACAATCTCTGCGAATGCTCATGGATGGATCAAGAAGCTATTGTGTCGTGTCCACGCGTCCACGCTGGCAAGCGTTACCTGACCCCCAAATTGCAGACAACCGTGAGGGTGCGCCTGGGATTCTTGACTGCGACTGTGAGGCTCGAACGCCAATGTGAAGAAGCACGCCGTATGCGCCGTTTTTCCGCCGAGGCAATCGGCCCACCGCAGTTGCCGTTTTTGCTCGGTCGCGTGGCGGGGCGTTGGCGTGTCGCGAGGCTCGAAAGCTAATGCAAAGGCGCCAGCCGCAGGCTGCGACTTCTTTCAGCCCAGCGCGGGTGGATCGCTGGGCTAGTCGCGGGGCGATTCGCGGGTGGGTCGCGGGGTGGGGTCCCAGGGTAGGTCGCGGGACGGAAGCAGGAAGAGCCTGAATCCGCACCGCGGAGCTTCATTTTGGCATTCGGCCACGCGCATTGGGGCAGAGTGAGACCGCTCGGCCCGTTCACTCTGATAACAGCCGTACTGTGATCTACAATTCGACGGACCTTGCTGCTACAATTTGAGACGCCGGATCTCAGGGCCCTGCTGCGTCGCTTCTCGAGCTGGACTGGTCCTCTTCGGACCCCCGGGTGCCCGGGGCGGGGCAGGCACGCGCGCGCCCGCCCGTTTTTTTGCCCACCGCGCCCGCATACCAAGCGGGGCGCATCGGAACACGTCGACCAGCCTACATCTGTTTCGTTGCCTGCGCATGTGGTTGTCGGAGCATGGTTCCCTGCCTCGCGGCTAGGCCCCACAGCGTTGCTCTCTTTGTCCGATGTGTCACGGCGGCGGCGTTGTCTCCTCTCTCGGCGTCCGTAGCCATTGTGGCGCAAGGATGGTGCGCTGGTGCGCGTAGGGGGATGAATTTCTACGCGCTCACCGGGCTGTATGTGGTCTTCGGCGGCCTCGGCATCGGCATATTCCTGTGGGGCAAGCCGGATGGCAATTCCATTTTCGACCGCCTGTACCAGCTGTTCTGCCAACACCTCCCCTCGGCCATCAAGAAGGTGTTGGAGAAGTGCTGTGGTAAGCGAGCTCCCGCCTTCCTGGACTGGCTATGGAATTACGTATGCTACACCAGCAACCCGATAGTGCAGGTGTTCTACCTCTGTGTGATCGTCGGTGGCTTCCTTACCTTCGCGGCCTACGGCTTTCCCCACATGCCGAACAAGCTCGTCGGGAGCGTCCACAAATACACTGGCTCTGGCGTGTTCGTCGTTTGCCTCGTCGTGTGGTGGAAGGCTTGCAGGACAGATCCTGGCACCGTCACGTCTATGAACGTGGACGACCTGTGCAAGATCTACGTGTTTGACGACGTAATCTTCACCAGCATGCAGTGCAAGACTTGCGAGATCGTAAAGCCCGCGAGGTCCAAGCACTGCGGACTGTGCAACGTCTGCGTGGCGAAGTTCGACCACCACTGCATTTGGCTGAACAATTGCGTAGGGGTTGGCAACCACAAGTGGTTCCTCGCCTTCCTTTTCTGGCACCTGGTGCTGTGCCTGTATGGATTTAGCCTGGGCACTGTATTGATATACAACGTGATCGCAGAGAGAGATCTCCAGAATGCCGTGTTTGTGGACCCGGTGACACGACAAAAGCACAAAGCTACTTGGACAATCATCGGCCAGTACATGCTCGCTACGGAAAGTATGATCATTTTTGTTAGTTTGCTTGCCCTGGTGATGGGGTTGGTGCTGTTCGGGTTCTTCCTGTGGCACCTGAACCTCGTTCGCACTGGCACTACGACGAACGAGTTGTCGAAGTGGAACTATGTGAAGTGGGCCCTGAAGCAGGAGGGTGAGCAGGGCAAAGAAGAGCTCAAGAAGTTGGTTAACCCATACAACAAGGGCATGATCGCCAATTTCAGGGAAGTGTTCTTCAACATCGACGTGCACAGGCTGCCTGGCAGGGATGGAAAGAAGGACCAGGCCCAGGCCAAATCCCGTGATAAGAAAAAGACGAAGAAGTCCTGAGCCCAATTGTGGCATGCAATGTCGTGGTGGCAGCCTGGAGCGGCAGCGGTTATGCCATTCGTGGTTCCTCCTTCTTTCCTCCTACTCTCCCCCAACTGGAAGGCAAATGGTTGTGTGCCCTCTGATCCTAGCTTCGCGCCGTGCTTGCCACTTGCGTAAGTAGTTTGCGGACGCATGAAGTCATCATATCATGACGGCTAGACGAGCTCCCGATCCAGTTTCGAGCCCGGAAACGCAAATCATGTTGCCAGCTCGCGATCTTTCGCAAATGGCGCCGATCTTCCAATATCAATGTGGAACACATTTTTGACCCAGCTGGCTCTCGAAAGTTCACTGCTGTCTTCATGGGGCACCGTGACTCAGTTCACGTTTGAGGTGGACGCACGTTGTGTGCACCTGCGTTCGCGAGTTCACATGCGCATTCCCATGCACACTTGATCAAAAGTCCCACGAGAACGGTGTCACGGGACCGACTCGTCCGACGCACCCCGCCTTGAATTCGACATCATGGATTTTGACATTGCGGCACCTGAGCCGGAGAGCTGCTCTTGTCCACGGGGCGGCGTGAGAGTGCGAAAATACTCGCATGTGCAGCGAAGAGTTTGTTGATTTGCACCAAACGACAACGCATGCGGGCAGTGATGTTTTTTGTGATTGGCCGGATAATGCAACCGCTTCGTGTGTTGGCGCATGTGTTCGTGAGCAGCGGCGCATTGAGAGCAGTTGAACATTGAAAGCAGCGGCACAGCGGGCAGCGGTATTGAGTGCAGTGGCAGTGAAGTGTCTCTTCCGCGTGCCAGCTTTCCGCGTGCGCAGTTGTACGGAGCGGCTTTGTACTGGCACCTCGCTACCGTCCCTGGCGAGAAGGCCTGAGCGAGCCGTCTGCAGTGCAGCGGCAGGGGCAGAATGAAGGTTGCAGGGGAGGGGGCAAGTTGTTCATGCATTGCCCTGGCCATTATTCGATACGTCGTCCTGCTCCTCCTCTCAGCGGGCCCTCCTCCCCCTCCTACTCCAGCAGCCAGTGCTTCTCCTCCCCCTCCCACGCTCAGCAGGTCTGTGTGGCCCCCCCAGCCGTTGTGGAGACCCTGGGGGGAACACTTGCGGGAGGAATCCGCCGACCTTGTCGGCGTGTGTGAGGGGGAGTTCTGGGTCCGTCGTCCTTGGGGCGTTCCTAGGAGACGATCTTTCACTCGATATGCTCCCCCACCCGAAGACATTCCCGAGACCCCATTTGGCGCCCCAAGGTCGTCAATTCGAGGTGAATCGAGCCAGGTCGTAATCGAAGTCGTCATTGGATCGAAGGAAGCCCTTTCCCTTTGATCCCTTCCTCACCCGGGGGGGGTGTCCCGGGGGGGGATACAGGTGGGGGCGGAGTGCCCCCGGGGGGGGTCCCGCGTCAGAATACGGTCCCCCCCTTGCCCTTTTCGGGCCGCTTTCGAGCAAATTTGGTTTTCATTTGGCAAATCAAGATACTCCAAAGAGAGGGCCCAGAGTCGCCGAAAGATTGCTCCAAGACGCCCAAGATGGCCTCCAGGCGGCACAAGACGCCTCCAAGACGCCCCAAGAGGCCTCCAACACTCCCGGAAAAGCCCCAAGAGGCAGCATGTATTGAACTTCTGTTGGTTTTTTATATGTTTTCGCATTTCTGTCTTTTCGGTTTCCTGACGCTCCAAGGCGTCCCGCGAGGCAACAAAAATCGGCCCAAGACGTCCAACGAGGCCGTCAAGAGGGCGCCGAGACCGCCCAAAGAGTCTCCAAGACGGCCCAAGAGGCTTCCAAAGCGGCCCTACGAACGCGCCAAGAGGAACCCCAGAGGGCGAACACGAACCGATTTCGAGTTCATCGCCGCAAGAGGCCCCCAGCCCCAAGAGGCTCCAAAGAGGCCCCCAAGAGACCCCAAGAGGCCCCCAGGAAGCCCCAAGACGCTCCACACTGCATCCAGAGGGCTCCGACAGCCCTCCGAAGAGATCCCAAGGAACATCCATGAGGGTTCTGACCCACCACCCAGACACGGCGGCGGGAGGGGCCGCAGGCCACTAGACCTGCTCGGCATGGGGGCGGAAAAGCGCGAGTAGTTCGTGAGGGCGCGCGTTCGCCTGACGAGCAAAGATCTAGCAACAAAAACGTGCGAAAATCAATTGGGGCTCGGTTGGGCCGTTTTGGGGCCCTCTTGGGCCATCCTTGGGCCCTCTTGGGCACTCGTGGGGCCCCGCCTCTTGGGCCGTTTGGGGGCTCTGTTGGGCTGTCATGGAGCCCACTTATCTGGGCAGTCTTGGGGGCCCTCTTGTGGGCCTATTGGGAGGTCTTGGGGCGGTCTTGTGGGCCTCTTGGGCCGTCTTAGACGGTATGACAACGAAACAACGAAATGCTCCAAAAATGCACGTGTCCCCTCAAGAATGGTCCTCTGGAGGATCTCTTGGAGCGTCTGGAGGGCCGCATTGGCCGTCTTGGGACCATCTTGAGCCGTCTTTGAGGGGCCGGCGGGATTGGCCGAAGCCCATTGGGAACAGATTGAAAGGGCCAAAGAGAAGATTAATAATTGTCGGCACGCCGATTTTCTTCCAGCAGCTTGCGGGGGCGGCGGATCTAGTGGTGTTCGGCCGGTCCTGGCACCGAACTTGGGTCATTGAACATACCACATGCGACAATCATGCCAAACCAATTCCTGTTGAACGATTTGGGCATCATGGGCTGGCCCCCAGGGCCGCGAGGCCCTCGACCAAGAGAGCCCCAGGACGGCAGCTTGGGGCCATCTCAGGACGCATGCGAGGTATGGAGTCACAATCACGCTGCCGAGACCTCGGGATAGGTTCACGCTGGATGCCCTGCGAGCGCCCAGAAGCGCCGAAGTCTGGGGCCTGAGATAGCATGAATCAGGTTCCATCTAGAGTGCTCGAAGGGACTTGAGGATATTCCATGTCGTGTTTCGCGGCACGGGGGCCGACAATTGCATTTCAGTATTGCGGAGCAGTGAATAGCATATCATGGCGTAGCATGTTATGGTATAGCGGAATTGTGCATCGCGTAGCACAGCATTGGGTTGCATTAAGCAACTCAGCATAGCAGAGCATGCAATGTATAGGCCCATCACGGCGTAACACGGCGTGGCGTAGCATCGCATAGAATTTGCATGAAGAGTTGGCGCCCGTGCCGAGGAGAACTCGCCGGCGAGCATCGACAATATAGCATTCCCGCATCAACAGGTGACAGCCCTTCAGGCCAGTTTTATTCGAACCCCCCCCCCCAAAAAAAACGACAACCAAATCTTGCCCCCATGGATTGGGTCGAGGATTCCAGGAGTCTCGTCGCGGAAAAGTACCACGATGTTGGTTGTTTGTGTATAAGGCGGTCTTTCTCACCCAGCTGCGTATGGCACCCAATCAGTTCTCGGGGTAATCTTGTGGACGGGTGGATTGACAGTGGTTGTTGTGTTTGCCCCAGGGTGTCCAGACTGTCTCCTTACCTAGCCGCCAGTTGGCATTAGAGGTACATTTTTCGGGGGCCATTTGATATTGGGGGCCATCAAAAAAAAAGCTCGCGCATTTGCACATTGGTGGGTCTGTTGGCCCCCTTGACCGCAGCAGAGGCCACGCGAGTTTGGGGAGCGGGGTCGCAACCCCCTGAAATCAATCCGACGTCAGTCGGCAACTTGTTGCTTGCTTGCTTCTAGCCCTACTCAGGGAGGCCTCTATCAAGCGGTTGGAGCAGGGAGTCATGGGCTCAAGATGAGAGCAGTGGCGGCTGCTATTTCTATCCGCGCGGTGCAGATACGCTACGCAGACCCCGACATGATGCGCGGCAAGGACGTGCTGGAGGTGCTCAATCTTCGACGCAGCACGCTTCTCTCTGCAGCTCCCGCGCAGCAGAGCTGGAGCAGGAACCGGAGGAGGGCAGCGAGATCTGACAGCTGCAGGAAAAAAAAAACAACGCCGTAAAAGCAAGCCGCCAGAGGCCCTCGACCAGATCCCTCGACTGCCCTTCCGAGCCAGATCGAGCCGCGAAGGCCGCCGGGGCCTGAGACGGGACAAGAATTAGCCAGACGAAGGACCCAACCATATGCAGGTGTGAGTACCGCAATTGTGATCCCCTTTTCGGTGGTGATCCCTATGGGGCAACGAACCGTGCTAGTGGTGTTCCAAAATGCATGGCGTGGTACACAACGCGAACGAAAACGATTGATCTGAGTACGTAGGGAGACTGGAGCGCGGGTGAATCTGAGCGCGAGTGCGTCTGACTGTGAATGAATCTGCGTGCGAGCGACTTTACGTGCATGAATGCGAGTACGCCAATGCATTGTGCAATTGTATATGAATGTTAATAGTTTGTGAACGACTGCCTCTGAGTAATCGTGACGCTGGGCGTGGCCGCCGCAAGGAGCTTCCCCGGGACTCCCCGACGGCATCGCCCGCGCGCCGCGACGCCACCGCGAGGATCGCGCCCGCTTCTTCCCCTTTTTTTATTCCCTCTTTGCCCGCGCACTCAAAGTCCAAAGCTGCGGGCGCAGCGCAGCGCGGAGTCCCAGCGACGCGCGCAGGTCGCCCCGGAGGGGTCCCAGCGACGCGCGCGGGTCGTCCGCTGCGCGCAGCAAAGAGAGCTAGCTGGCTGGCTGATAGCGGTCAAGGCTCTTGCCGCTGGGCAGAGCGACGACGGGCGAGGGAGGCGCAGAACCCCGACGGCCTCCGACGGAGGTGTACTGGGTGGTGGAGACGCGTGCGGACTGCGCCACGGGGACCTTCGGTGGAGCTCCCTATGGGGCCACGAACGCGTGAAAGGTGTGCCGAAAAGGGCGTGCGGGACAAGTGCGGGCAGACTCACTCGGACCTTCGGTGGAGCTCCCTATGGGGCCACGAAACGTGTGAGGGGTGTGCCGAAATGGGCGTGCTGGACGCATGCGGGCACACCCGCTGGGACCTTCGGTGGAGCTCCCTATGGGGCCACGAAACGCGCGAGGGGTGTGCCGAAATTAGTCTGCTCGACGCATGCGGGCACACCCACTGGGACCTTCGGTGGCGCTCCCCCTGGGGCCCCGAAACGTGTGAACGGTGTGCCGAAATGGGTTTGCTCGACGCATGCGGGCACACCCACTGGGACTTTCGGCGGAGCTCCCTATGGGGCCACGAAACGTGTGAGGGGTGTGCCGACATGGGTGTGCGGGACGCATGCGGGCACACCCACTGGGACCTTCAGTGGGGCTCCCTATGGGGCCACGAAGCGTGTGAGGGGTGTGTCGAAATGGGTGCGCCGGACGCATGCGGGCACACCCACTGGGACCTTCGGCGGAGATCCCTATGGGGCCACGAAACGTGTGAGGGGTGTGATGAAATGGGTGCGCGGGACGCATGCGGGCACACCCACTGGGACCTTCGGTGGAACTCCGTATGGGGCCACGAAACGTGTGAGGGGTGTACCGAAATGGGTGTGCGGGACGAATGCGGGCACACCCACTGGGACCTTCGGTGGAGCTCCCTATGGGGCCACGAAACGCGTGAGGGGTGTGCCGAAATGGGTGTGCGGGACGCATGCGGGCACACCCACTGGGACCCTCGGTGGAGCTCCCTGTGGGGCCACGAAACGTGTGAGGGGTGTGCCGAAATGGGCGTGCTGGACGCATGCGGGCACACCCACTGGGACCTTCGGTGGGGCCCCCTATGGGGCCACGAAATATGTGAAGGGTGTGATGAAATGGGTGTGCGGGACGCATGCGGGCACACCCACTGGGACCTTCGGTGGAGTTCCCTTTGGTGCCACGAAACGTATGAGGGGTGTACCGAAATGGGTGTGCGGGACGCATGCGGGCACACCCACTGGGACCTTCGGCGGAGCTCCCTATGGGGCCACAAAACGTGTGAGGGGTGTGCCGACATGGGTGCGCGGGACGCATGCGGGCACACCCACTGGGACATTCGGCGGAGCCCTCTTATGGGGCCACGAAGCGTGTGAGGGTGTGCCGACATGGGTGTGCGGAGGAGGAGGGGGAGGAGGAGGAGGAGAGGAGGAGAGGAGGAGACGCGGGCCACCGTCTTTTCAAAACGAGGACCCAACACCACAGGATGGTTGGGAAAAATAACGCCAGTCGTGGTTCTCCAAGGGCCTCCAAGCTTCCTCCTCCTCCTCCTCCTCCTCCTCCTCCTCCTCCTCCTCCTCCTCCTCCTCCTCCCCCTCCTCCTCCTCCTCCTCCTCCTCCTCCTCCTCCTCCTCCTCCTCCTCCTCCTCATTATCCTCCTTCTCCTCCTCCTCCTTCTCCTGGCCTCTCGCCCTGCAGTCCGCAGGAGGCCCAGAAAGCGCCGCAAGCGTACGAGAGCCTCGATTCTCGATCTCCCAGGGAAGGGACACTCCTCCCAGCGGCTCGGGGGTGCAGGACGAGAGGCAGGTGGGCGACATCAAAAAAAACGGGGGTCGCTTGCCCCGACAATCGTGCGAAAGCTTTTTGCGCAAGTTCGCGCGCAAGCGCCCTCGTCGCCTATGTGGCGTGCTGCGCTGGCGGCCCTCGTAAGTCGCGGCGCGAGGTCGTTGTGTCATCTCGCGTAGGGCCCGTTTCTGATCGTCACTCATTTGGGACGCCATCAGAGATGCCAAGCAGCAGGCAGCAGGTCAGGATAAAGCAGCTGCTCGCTGCCGATTCGCAAACCCCTCCAAAGCCCTGTGTGATCCCCGCCCCCAAACCCCTCCAAAGCCCTGTGTGATCCCCGCCCCCTCGTCCGCCCTGAAGTTAACCCCAGCCGCCACACTGCCGTCTCCCGGCAACTGACGCCCCTCCCGCCTCGCAGTCACTCCCGCCCCCTGGGTTCCCAGGATGGGCCCGGCCAGGACGGGCACCGCTGGTCACTGGGCGCCCCCTCGCATCCGACGTCGCAACTGGTGGCTGGCACGAGCCCCCCGGGCATCTCGACCCGTTCCCCCAGGCCGGCTAAGCCATGCCGGTTGATTGTAATCCTCCTGAGAATGCCGCCTTATCCTCGTCCCGAGTGTCGGGGGCGACCTACTCAGGGGAGGTGGAGAACGTGATCCTAGAGGGCCTATTTGGAGCCCTTTCTGTACAGTCAACACGCACAGTGAGCATGAGCAGCCATCCCAAAAACATCCCTGCGTCCTTGCCTCGGCGGCCCATCCTCAGCGGCTGTCGCTGGCCAGCCTCGCTCGGAAAACGCTGACGTGGCCCTCCAAGGCCCTTGCATCCTTGCCGCGCATCCTTGGGTTGACTGTGCTCCCAACTTCTGACGGCCAGGGGGCCGCGAGGCGGCCTTTGGAGGCCGGAAGCGCCCAAAGCTTGGCCGCCCCGCTGTCTGGTGCGTCGCCTGGATTCGGGGGCCCCCCCGAGGGCCACCGTAGATGGACAAGCGATTCGAACCCTTTCACATGTTCGGAGGGATGTCGGATCATCCCCCCCCCGCCCCCGAAGCCAATGCTGATGATCTCGGCAGGGTGGTGCTTCGGGGGTTCGAACATGCCTGTCCACGCACGCCCCCTCCTGCGCAACGCCCTCAACATCAATTTCGGGGGTTCCGGGGGGCATCTTGGGCCACAGGGTTCGAATACGATGTCCACGCACGGTCCCGCCTCCTCCCGCCTGGGGGCCGCCCGCGCCAGCGCGCCCGAGGTGGCTTGCGCGCGGGGCGGAGGCGCCAGGTACCTGGCGGAGGTGGCGGGCCCCCGGAGGCGCTGCCGCCGTCCGAGGGCCCAGCGATCGATGGTCCTCGGGACGCGTGTTGGCCGAAGCGTATGTGTCTAGGCCGCCTATAGATGGGGTCCGAGTAGATGGGGTCGGAGGATCGCGCCGCACCGTCGATGCATCGGCGATGCGGCTCGATGTGTAGCCCGATCTTCTCCACGCTGGCGTCGCCGATGCATCACGATGAATCGCCGATGCATCGGCGATGTATCGCCGATGTATCGGCGATGCGGCGCGATCCTCCGACCCCATCTACTCCGACCCCATCTAGGAAGCCTCTAATGTGTACCTCTTTCGGCCCCGCCGACTGCGCGCAGCCTGTGTCGGCCCCTCGGTGCGCTGCCTGCGTCGTATGAACGGGCCTCGCTGGACGAGCACGCGTTGGTGCTCACACGCGTTCTGCGGATCATCGAAGAGAGCAAGGGGCGGACGAGCTGGGGGTCTCGAGGTTTCGAGGCCGGGTTGTTCCAACGTCGTAGGTTCCTGGCTGCGTTCCAGCCCCGGGACGGGGTATTTTCCAGCGGCTGCGCCTCGCAGAGAGCGCTCCTGGGGTGCCCAGATCGTCCCAGACGGCCGCCAGAGACTTGAGTTATGGCGCGGAAGCCAGACGATCAGGACCAGCAGGGGTGGCCGCGGCTCGGTCGTCTCGGCCCCGTCGCAGTGGTCGGCCGTTCGGTCGGTTCGGTTCGGTCGGGCGTTGCGTCGCTGCTGGCTGCGCCCCTCTGCAAGCTGCATTCCGGTCTTCTGGTCCGGTCGGTTTCGGTTTCGCTGCCGGTTCGGTCGGCTTACAGTTCTGTGATCCATTTGGACGCTTGTGGAGAGGGAGAGCCAACGATGAGTCTGATTACACCGATCCTGGCCAGGGCGATCTTGAGCCCTGGATCAGCACACACACACACGCACACACAGGTATCCAGCGTCCTGGAAAAACAAGGAGGATATACAGATGTGTGTTCGCCGTTTTCCGCCTCCGGTAACGTAATCAAACGACTCGGGATGAAAGACCAGCTCTGGGGACAGTGTCGGGATTTCTGGGACGTCGTATTGAAGAAATTTGAACAAGACAAATATCTAATGGCCGTCGTTATTCATTATTTCGCCCAACGGCTCGGGCCCCCGCCCCCCCCATCCCTTCCACTGTGATCGTTTTTTGAAATACCCCCAAGAGTAACGTTCGCAAGCCAGGCACAAGCGTGAATATTTGTAGCTTTCAAAGGACATTGCGAGGAGTGCACAGGCGTTCCGGCGCACGCAAGCATCGACGTGCACGCAGGGCCAATGCATTGCGATGTACACGGGCGCTGTGGTGCACGCAGGCACTGAGGCGCACGCATACGCTGCGGTGCACAGGGCTACTGGTAGTGTGCACTGGCGTTGCTGCGTTCACAGGCGTTGTGATGCACGGAAGCACTGTGGTGTACACAGGCGTTGTGGTGCACGCGGTTGCTGTGAGATACACAAGCGTTGTTGGTGTACGCAAGCGCTGCGGTGCAGCAAAATGACATCACAGGATGAGGGGCAGGACGACGAGAAGGAGGCAGAGGGGAAGCAGGGAGGTGGGCAGGGGGAGGGCGCCAGATAGCAGCATGTTCACAACCTAGTGGCCCCGCTGAGCCTGCGGGCTCTCGTTGTCGTCTGCTGTTGCCTCTGGCCGCAGACAGTTCGCTGGCGCAGAGAGAGCGCGGCGGCGACCCGAGCGCGGGCGTTCAAGGTTGCGACGCGCCGGGGGGGGGGGGTCCGGGCTCCAGGATTCTTAGAAGTTCACCCGCGGTGCGAAACCATGGCTCAATGTTGGGTCGAGAGCTTCTGGTTGCGAAGATCGTTCAAGACTGACCCATGCGGTGTTAAAAGCCAATTTCCAAGGCGTCACGACACGGAGCCACCGTGCAGCCGACGCCCCACGTCCTCATACGTTCCCCCACCTCCTGCCTCCCAGTCCTCATGGCGGTCGCCGTGAGAAAAGGTTCCGAGGGAA